ATGTAGTTATTTCTGTCTTCAAGCGGCACACTGATGTAGTTATTTCTGTCTTCAAGCTGTATACTGATGTAGTTATTTCTGTCTTCAAGCTATATACTGATGTAGTTATTTCTGTCTTCAAGCGGCACACTGATGTAGTTATTTCTGTCTTCAAGCTGTATACTGATGTAGTTATTTCTGTCTTCAAGCTGTATACTGATGTAGTTATTTCTGTCTTCAAGCGGCACACTGATGTAGTTATTCTTTTCTTTTTTTACACTTGCCCCATAAAATTGAGTACTATTTTCAAAATCAAATGTAGTTAGAGTGAATTAACACACGTAACACCTTATCGATAACACACGTAACACCTTATCGATTGAAATACATTAGATTAGGCACTGAATACGTCGCCCTGATGGTTAGGACGCTTGTCTCGCCATCTGTAAGTCATGAGTTCGAATCCCCGTCACCGAGCATGCTTGCCCTTTCAGCAGTAGGCGCATTACAATGCGACGGTCAATCCAACTATTCGTAGAGTAGCCCAAGAGTTGGCGGTGGGTGGGGTTGACTAGCCGCCTTTCCTTTAGTCTATCACTGCTAGATTAGGGACGACTAGCGCAGATAGCCCTAAGTAGCTTTGCGCTTAATTCCAAACAAACAAATGTACGATATTTTAAAAACACCCTGCAAAACATATTTAATTTTTAAAAAATATATTTATGCGTGCTACAACAGTCAACACTGCACATGCTTACACTTTAATATCGTACTGGAAAAATCAAATTTTCAAATTGGAAATACAATTTACAGTAAACAAACAAATCTTATTTGAACCATATCTGTGTTTGGACTTATAAAAACGAATATGACCATGGTTATGATAATAAGTACTTACTGTGTTTTCTGTATTCCCATCACATCTTCTGCAGAAAAAGTATATATTATGATAAGTTGGTCTTTATGGGGTTTTTTATTCACATATTAACACGTGATATTTACTATCAATGTTTTTCTCGCCAGGATATTTTGGCAAATGACAAGATCACGTTAGACTGGATGTTTCGCTATTCTCTGATGCACGATATTGTTAAGGTAAACCTTATATTTCATATCCATCTTTTATCTTGTTATTGAAGAGGTTTTTAGTATAGCCTGATAAGTGATTACTGTTATTCTAAATATATTATCTTCTTCTCAAAATCTGATTTTAGACATAGTTCTATCCCTGTTCGTATCCGTATGTTCGTGTTTTTTTTTCTAGCAACAGTTAAATATCATTTGTTTTCGTCAAGTGCCAGTTATGTTTTTCATATCTCAATACGTAAACAAAGTAAATGAAAAATACTACAAGTTTATGAAGAAGTAATTTTTTAGTTTCCTAACCAAAGCTGGGGCGCTCGACTCGTAATCTGAGGGTCGAATCCCCATCACACCAAACATGCTCGCCCTTTCAGCCGTGGGGGCGTTATAATGTGACGGTCAATCCCACTATTCGTTGGTAAAAGAGTAGCCCAAGAGTTGGCGGTGGGTGGTGATGACTAGCTACCTTCCCTCTAGTCTTTCACTGCTAAATTAGGGGCGGATAGCCCTCGTGTAGCTTTGCGCAAAATTTAAATAAAAAAATCAAAACGTTTGGGTTTGTCCTATATATTAATGACAGCATTTTTTTTTTTTTTGCATTTTATGAGATACGTGGTATTGTGTGTTTTGCAAGTGATTTCCTTAGTAATTTTAAAATATTTTTGGTTATATTTGTCGGGAAAAAGAGTTGGTAGTTTTTATGAGCTTCTAGCTAGAGAAGAATGAGTTTGATTAGATGGATGACAACCATTCTGTGATGGATTCTAATTTCATTTTTGCGTGAACAAGGATACATTCAAGACTGCTCTTCCAAAAGGAGACAAAAGGAACTTCAGGAAGATGTATCTTAGGCGGTAATTCAGTTATAATAACTTGAAGTTTTTGTTTGTTTTTGTGAGTTTGAAGAGATTGGCAATACCAAGAGGAATTCCGTTTGATTCTTTAGTATTACACTATATAATGATGGTTATTCATTTAGGATTGTCAGCTGTTTAATCTGTCTATCGAATTCGGTATCTTTGTTGCGTCTTTGTAACATGGTTTATTTTCATGATTTGAGTATTTATGTATATTATTGACATATATTAGCGAGTATCCTGGATGTTCTGACATTTATCAATCCAATAACAAGTATTTAGTATATATTAATGTTCTGTAGTTTAAAATACTAGTTTATAATTATTTTTTATAAATTTATTGCTTCATTTTCTCACGTTTGGAAATAAACATATTATAAAAAAGGGTTATCTTATCCATATTGTTATTACTGTTACAGATTTTGGTCTTAAGAGTTTAAGAGCACGTGATGTAGAGGACTCACCCGCTTTTTGGAAACGTAAGTTGTTTATATTTGATACCCAGGAATCGTACGACGTAACACATTAACGTTGTTTACCGGTATAACATTCAGCAATGATATGTAACAGTTAATATATATATATATATTACTAAATCCAAATTTCAAAAACAATGTACTTGATTCTTGCAGAATTTGTTTAAACTGATTACCTCCCACATATTATGTGTCATAGTTGTTTATGCCCCGAATATTTCTTACACGAAATGAAACTTTTTTTAGAAATAGTCAGATGTACTCTGGGGGTATATAGAGCGTCATAATCTTTATTATAGCTCACACCTAAAAACAAAAGTCGTTAAACTATTTTTCTTCCTAACCTATGATGTTTCGTGTCGTATAGTCAGGACGTCTATTATCAGTTTCTGACTCTGATTAGTATGCGTATATCAGACTACTAAATAACTTTTTATGAAATTAATCGTAAGGAACAAGTTTATGGTGTAAATGTTTTTAATGCATGTTACTAATGCTAGGTGTCTCTAGTATGTTGCAAGTTCTAATTTTATAGAGCAGTAATACTGTTACCTATTCGCTATTTATAACTCCTACATCTTCAAGTATCCTGACACCTACTCTGCTCTACTTTTTGTTAAAAATTAAAAAAGAGGCTCAGATATCACGGTAAGTAACTATATGTATTAATTTCAAGTGTTGTCAAGCTTGTGCTTGTATTGCTATGTTCTAGTATTGAAAATTTTCAGTTATAGAAAACTATATGGTAACAGTATTTTGTTAATCTGACCTTTTATGCCTGATAATTAATCTAAGAAACACGTCAGTTTTTCCAAGTGTGTTTAATCATTATGTTACGTCTCCTTTCGTTAGTTAATTTTCCGTAAATTCGTTCCAACGAAACTTTAGCGATACAAGTCCTTTCTTAGATAAAACTGGTTTATTCTTTCCGAGTACAACTTTACCGATACACTTAATTTCAACAGTCGCTCTATAACAACGGTATAATTCTCAAAGAACGTTTCACATGCTCGTGCTCGACAATACTCAGTTCAATTACACACTCTCGACTGCAGTTCAATTACTCCTTACCTACACATTGTCCCGTCACGTTGTGACCATCTTATACATACCAGACTACCCCAATCTAGTAATCTTCCGACAATTCACGAAGGTTTGAGAAAGAGGTGGCGTGATACTAGTCACGTGACCTCGCTGATGTAAC